TGGAATTTTTCTATAATAGTTCGGGTTGAAACTGGAGTTGAACAAGGAGACACAGTTAGCATGCACTATGATCCTATGATTGCAAAGCTTGTTGTCTGGGGAGGTAATCGTGGCGAAGCTTTAGTGAAACTGAAGGATTGCTTGTCTAACTTTCAGGTAGATTCCCTGAGAACCTGTAACAACGTTTTGGAGCTCTCTGCAATTTTAATTATACCTCAGCATAACTATAAATCGTCAGGGCCTTATGGTTCCATTTTGAACTTCTTAAGAAACCTTTTCGAGTTTCTCGCTCATCGCTTCTTAGTTAGCACAATAGTTCAGTAATTACATGGTATCTGTTGACAGGTAGCAGGTGTTCCTACAAACATAAATTTCCTTCAAAAACTTGCTAGTCATAAGGAGTTTGCAGTGGGCAATGTAGAAACTCATTTTATTGAGCACCATAAAAGTGATCTATTTGCTGACGAAAGCAATCCAGCTGCAACAGAAGTGGCATACAAGGCAGTCAAGCATAGTGCAGCATTGGTGGCTGCTTGTATCTCCACAATCGAGCATTCTGCTTGGAATGAAAGTAGTCATGGTCAGTTCACATGAGTCTAGTCTCTTCTTTACAAGTTAATGATTCCCGAGTATGCCTTAATTCATATGCGTAAACTCATCCAGGGAAACTTCCATCGATATGGTATTCTCATCCTCCTTTTAGGGTCCATCATGAAGCCAAACAAACCATTGAGATAGAGTGGAATAATGAATGCGAGGGAGCTGGCTCTAACCTTATATCACTCGGTGTAATGTATCAACCAGATGGAAGCTATCTCATTCAGGTTTTTAACTCACTTTTAGATTCGTTTTAAAAGGATAAAAATGAACCCTATTACTGCATTATATACATACTTCATTTATGAGTCTTATAATTGGAAATTTGGAATTCTGATGTTTTGACAACATTCCACGAGACAGGAAGGCAATGATTCTCCAAGTTTAGAAGTCAGAGTAACTCGAGAAGGAAATTGCGATTTTAGAGTTGAAGCGGCTGGATTGAGCATGAATGTTAGTCTAGCCACGTACTTGAAGGTAAATTATTAGCATCATGTTCAAGCAACTCTTCACAGCTTTATCTCATGGTCTTTCTGCCTCTCTCGTAATTGCTACTTATGATGTGTTTTTGGTAACAGGATGGTTATAAGCATATCCATATATGGCACGGTTCAGAACACCATCAATTCAAGCAGAAGGTAGGAATCGAATTCTCTGAAGATGAAGAAGGTGTCCAACACAGAACCAGCTCCGAAACATCATCACACCCTCCAGGAACCATTGTGGCCCCCATGGCTGGTTTGGTAGTCAAGGTCCTTGTTGAAAACGAAGCCAAAGTAGATCAAGGTCAACCTGTATTAGTCCTAGAGGCAATGAAGATGGAGGTTAGTATACAAACCTCTTCATATACCATAAACATAAGAAACAGTTAAGTAATTATCGTTTTATTCTCCTTCTCCATGGTGGTTCAGCACGTTGTGAAAGCACCATCCTCTGGAAGCATACAGGACCTCAAAGTTAAAGCAGGCCAACAGGTTTCAGATGGCAGTGCTCTATTCAGAATCAAAGGTTAGTGGTAATTTAGTACCAGGCTTTCTTTTTCCTTTATACATTCATATTATCCTTTGAGAATTTCAACCAACTCCACCAGTTTCACAATCTTTGCAGGATAAATAACACGATTTGCGATTGAATAAACCCATGCTCTGGCTTACCCGAAACCTCAACTAATAAGCATTTGGGTGTGTATATAAACAGAAATCTTACAAAAGATAAATAAATCCAAAGCTTTATCAATGTTTGTGCTGCCTCTATATAGATCTTATTGATTACATTAATAATCAAGTTAGTCCGAGCCATTTCTTGAATACTAAACCTGCTTCTCTCTTCTTGAGCTGAGATTCACTTTGAACTTTTGGAGCTTTGCCTTTATAAGCAGTCTTGTGATACTTCAAGAAGAGCATCCGATACTTGTACTTATCAACAAACATATTCTTTTTCTCCATCATCTCCACAACTTCATTAGCCCGTGAGAAAAATCCGCCTCTAACAAACGTGTAGAGCACCGCATCGAGCAACTCTTGATCAAACCTCATCGATGAAGTAGCTGCGGCTATGGACTTCATTTCTCCCCATAGCTCAGTGACCTCTGTGTATTTACTCCCTATAGCTGCATATCCTGTGACCATAGAATGAAAAGTTTGAGCATTCGGTGAATGCCCAAGACTTCTCATCCTCTTCAATGCCTTCTCTGCATCTTGCATCAAACCTTTCTTGCTAAAGAAATGGATCACATTGTTCCAATCATGAACACCAGCATCCAAACTCTCCCCTTCTCTGATTTCTCTCAAGAGTTTCGACATAAGTCCCGCCTCTGCGTTTCCTTCACATCCCTTTAAGAGCTTCTCGAACTGCTGATTTCCACCTCTCGGTATCTTCGCCTCTTTCATTTCCTTGAACACATTGAGAGCTCCATGAGTATCATTCTGAATCACTTGAGACTGGATTAAAGCTTCATAACAGCTAGAGTCTAATTGAATCCCTGCCTTTTGAGCATCTCTAAGGAGTGATGTCACTTCTCTAGTTTGGTTTGTTTTGCAGTAAGCTTTGAGGAGCGAAGAATAAACCGAAGAACCGGTTCTTACCCCAGCCATACGCATCTCGTCGAGTAGATCATGCGCCTGATCTAACATTCCTAGAGAAATACAAGCGTTGATAACATTCACCAGCATCGAGTTATCACTAGAAACAGGGGAGTCTTCATGTTCTGCCTTTAACAGAAACTCTGCTAATTCCTTCATCTTTCCACTCTCCAGGAATGCCTTTGCTAATTTCACAAAAATCTCTTCCGTCGGCTGCAGAACACCGCGTTCCGAGGTAATCAATTTGACTTGTACATGCAACTTAGCCAACAATGCACCAAGAACAACCTTTGCCTCAGCTTCAAGATTCAAAAACTTCCTGTCTCTACAGAACTCATCATAGGGAATCATATTGTGAATAGAAACCACTCGAGTTTCGGGATTATTGTGTTCTTTAATCTCTGATCCCTTTTCAGATGCTTTTTTGGTATTGAATCTATCATCATTTGTAGTATTAAATCCAAGAATGGCGGCTCCAAGTGAGTTCCTTGCTACCTTTCCTCTTCTTAGCATTTCCAGAACCATTTTCGAAGCAGATTCAAGATCACCGAATTTTAAGTGACACATAAGCAAGCAGTTATAGAATTGCCAAAACTGAGAATCATTCAAGTTGCAAGCTTCATCTATATGCCTTTGAAGCTTCTTCAGTTCCTCTCTCCGCCCATTTCTTTCGTATATATGAGCCATTATTACTAACAAGTTAGCATCAACTTTAACACCGATCTTCGGTATCATATCAAGAAGCTGTTCAGCTTTTCGTGTTGTCCCAAACAACAAACAACCCGCCAAAGCAATGTTCAACACCTGAGTATTAGGCTTCATCGCAAGCAAAGGTGTGTTGCTCTTCTTCCGTGGATCAACTCTGTTATTATGAAACAAGTAACCAATCTCAAGAACCAACTCAGCAGAAAGATAACTTCCTGATCCCGCAAGAGACATATGCGCCAAAACTGCAGACCAAGCACTCACGTGAGGATACTCTTCTGTCTCAACTAGCTTCCTCAAGATCGTTGATGCAGGAACAGCCATACCTGACTTGGCGAGAGCCAAGGATAGATATAAAAGAGGTTCTTTCTCCAGCAAATTCTGTTTACTCTCCTCATAGGCTTGTTCCACTAAACTGTAACCCTTTTGTAGCCAATTGGAATCAAGACTCTCAGCAAAACAAACCAAAACATTGTTAACAACAGATTTTCGCGGAAACCCTTCCATTTGCATATGTTGTTCAAACAATCTCCAAGCTTCATCACATCTATGTTCATCAACTGCAATTTGAATTTCTTCATTGAGTTTAGCAGGATCCCTGGCTTGAAGCAATATAGATCCAGAAATGCTTGAAAATGCATCTGTTCTATGGATAGACCATACATCGAATCTTTTACTAGTACGAAGCTTAGATAACACACTGAGGTTTCTCGCATTAGACAGAACATCTTTACCCGCCAAACCATGTTGTAAAGAAGCTTGAGATTGAGTACCTGTAACTTCAATGGCGTCGAGGAGAACTCCACGAAACAAAGAACTCAAACGGCACTGGTGAAGTGAAACAGCCCGAAGCTTCGTTTTCCTCCATGAAAACATCTCTATTATCTGAAAGATCTTGTTTTTCTTCGTCAATTCGTTAATACCAAGTTTAAAGCTCCTCGACTGTTATGAGTATTTTATGAAAACTGTCTCCAAGTTTCATTCAGACATTTCGTCGAACACTTGGTGCGTGTACTGAACCAGCAAGCATTGAGCACTAACGGGAGATTAGGACAAAAAGACAAAAGCTTTCTTGAGCAGACGGTGTGTCTTTCACCATTGATGATGACAGGTGCGAAGAACCCACGAAACCTTAATCATACTAATCACTACAGCCAGAAGAAAACTTGTAATTTTGGATTAGTCGAAAAATATGAAGTGTTGACAAAAAGAGAAAAAAAAAAAAAAAAGTGAATAACTAATATTCTAAAGGAATTTGTCAAATCGAGTATAACTATATCATACGGTGTTATTAAATGGTCTATCAAAAATCTAATTGTTAGTTAGAAGTTAGAACCAAACCATATGCTTATTTATTACATTTGGCTCAACTTATAACATTTCATAAGTTTAAGCTTTTACTAATCTTGGGTTGGTAAAACACGCATAAACACAAGTTAATCCAAAAAGCAATGCATAATTTCAGATTTATCAATAGGGTTGGTTTCATTAAATTCTATAACATTTTTGGTTTACCAATACACAACTCTTAACACAAGAAGCAATGCATAGATTCAGGCTTATCCATAACTCTTAACAAAGCCCCCTCAAACATTTCTATAAGTATATCACCCTCATGACTACTGATCATATCCCAAAGTTTACACGTATTTTCGAAAAACCCCAAATGATTCTTGCAATGTTAGCCCTTGTAATAGCCACCGTTCTATACGGTGGAGCCACCACGGTCCAAGCTGGATGCAGTGACACTCTGACCAGCCTTTCCCCTTGCCTTAATTACCTCAACGGTGGCTCAACGTCACCTTCTTCGAATTGTTGTAGTCAATTTTCCACGGTGGTTCAATCGTCACCTGAATGTTTGTGCTATGTGGTTAATAGCAATGAAAGCTCATTTTCAGGGTTCAAATTTAACCGGACTTTGGCTCTCAATCTCCCTACCGCTTGCAATGTTCAAACTCCATCACCTAGCCAGTGTAACAGTAAGAAACTTAATAATTCTAACATTATACACTTCAAAATATAGATGTTTGTTGATCCAAAAATATTTTGGTTTATAACAATTTTTCCAATAATATTCATATCGTACTGAAAATATTATGGTATATATAGCCAGTAGAAACGTACCAACCACGTCGCCGGCGAATACTCCTGTAGGTTCACCTCAAAGTGCTCCTTCACCATCAGGTACCACGTCTCCGGCGAATACACCGTCAGGTTCACGTGATAGTTATTCACCACAAATATCTCAATTCATTTCATATTATTTTCTTTTCTTAAGAATTGTGATTTTTTTTGTTTAATCGGTGAAACTTGGAAACAGGATCGAAGAAGTTCGCATGGAGTAATGAAAGCTCGTCCAACAGCAATGTGATCATCTTGTCTTTCGTATCCATAGCTCTGGTCCTCGCTACAATATGAATCTCAATCTTCTTTTTATTTTTACTTTTACCAATTTATGTCTCCATGTAATATTGTAGTGCTTCCTCAATGTATTTGAAATTCATAAAATTCATATTCATGTCTTTCCTACTTCGTTATTAAAAGCAGGAAAAATAGTCCAATGGGCCCTTAAGCTTTCGATTTCCGGCCCAACTTAGACTTAACGCATATGGTTGAAAGCCAGTCTTACGCGCATCTAAAGCGAGTACCACACACGCTCGATTTCTTAACTGTAATGAGAAAACGATTAGACTAACATCCAAACAATCCAAATATAAAATCGATTTGTTGTTTGTGGCGGCTTTTTTCTCACGAACTGCTTTAAACCCTAAAACTCCAACCTTTTTTTGCTCTCTGTGTAACAACAATGGAGGAAGAATCTCACATCGAAGAAGTAGAAATCCAAAACAAACTCGAAGTTGCTCCTGCATTGATTTCCGTTCATCCATCTCAGAAATCTGTCGCTGTAGCTGTCGGGTCGGATCTTCGTGTATTCGATCTTATGTAAGTTCATTGTCTCCTTCATAATCGAATTCGAACATGTTTCTTCATAGATTGTGTTTGTTTTGAAACAATAATGGGGTTTAGACTTGCTTTTGACTTGGGTTCAGACCTCGGAACCCAGAAACTTCTCTCCGTGTGGCTTTGTGAAATTTAACAAGTTTTTGACGAATTTTGTTCTGCTGCTTTAAAGCTAGTTCAATTGAATTTTAATCACCTATGCAAAAGTGTTAAACTTGGAATAGATGAGTGTTTAGTTTATATATCTAGTGATAGTTAACCGATTGCTTTAAATGTTTAATCGACAGAGAAAATTGCCCAGTTAGTTTGGTGGATGAATCTGATGGGCCTTCCCGTAAGGAATCCATTAGAGCTATTCGTTATGGTGCAAGTGGAAAGCTTTTTGTGTCTGCAGGCGATGACAAGCTCGTTAAGATTTGGTCTGCAGATTCTTGGCGCTGTCTTAACACAGTGTAAGTTAGTAACTACATATCGTAAGCATTGCTATCATTATTAATTGGTGTTCCATTTTTAGTGTTAGTTTTCACGCATTGTGTTTCTAGCATTGCAATTCTCTGTTTTTCCAAAACAGACTCTATGCTTATCTCAGGTTTCATAAGCTTATAACATCATAATCATGGCAGATGTTCTGAGAAGAGAGTTAGCGCAGTTGCTATAAGTAGCGATGATTCACATGTTTGCTATGCGGACAAGTTTGGTGTTGTATGGGTGATCGAGCTGGATGGGATCAATGAGGGTAAAACTTTACCTAGTAAGAAGGGTGCGCTGCTGCTTTCCCATTATTGTAGTATTATTACTAGCCTGGTAAGATAAAGTTTTGTTTAAACGCATTTCTTCTATGTTGTCTCGTTCTTGGTGCATTATGAAAAAGCTGAAGATTTAACTTACTATGTCACTCATTCTGATTTGTTCTTGTTCATAGGAGTTTTCCCCAGATGGTAGATATATTCTTAGTGCTGATCGGGACTTTAAGATAAGGGTAAGCTAGTCTAATTCACTAATGTACAATGTCATGCTTCTCTTGTTCGGTTACTCCTATAGTGATTATGTTTGCCATCACAGGTGACTGTTTTTCCCAAGAAGCCTCTAGAAGGGGCTCATGAAATACAGAGTTTTTGTCTTGGACATTCAGAGTAAGTTAGAGTTTAAAGCAACATGTAATCTCATCCCAAATATTCTGTTTGCATCCTAAATATTTGGTTTCTAGGACATTTATCAGAGTGTTGTTTACAAAATGAAAGATTGTAAACAAAGATGAGTATTGAACAGTTCCATTAACATTGTCTTAAACCTTAATAGGTTCATCACCTGCACAGCATTTGTCAGCACTCCAGAGCTTACTCAGGGATACCTCATGTCTGGAAGTGGAGATTCAACTGTAAGTGATCTTAAAGTATACATATCCAGTTCTTACGACCAGTGTGTGATGCTTGACTCCTTACTAATGTTGTTCATATTCAGGTTCGACTGTGGGATATTACATCTGGGTCTCTACTTGACACATGTGAAGTTAGTACGGTGGTAAAAATTTCGATCCTTATTAATTTTTACATTCATCTACTAATTTATCCTTATATATCTGGTTGTGTATCTTTTTAGCGTAAGTGATTTCTGTTTGTGCGTATTGAAGGCAGGGGATTTAGAGTCTAATGAAAGTGAGTCGCCGACCCAAGTCACAGTTACCGACATATGCGCTATCCCGAATTCTTCTCTTGCAGCAGTAGCAATTCAAAGGCAAGTCCAATATTTTAGCCCGCATACGTTTCGTTTAAATCAGATTTTTGATTACCTCTATTAAGTTAATGCAGCTTTCAAGGAATATTCTTGTTAAGCTGTGATTTGACAGCACATACTCTCTCTATCACAAAGGTATGAATACTGTTAGCAAATCCAGTAAAATCAACAAAACTATAATTTAACCGGGTAAATAATCTTGTAGGTGATAAAAATCCCTGGAGAAAGTTTCATTCCTACAAGTATATCTGTAAGTGCATCTTCAAAATTACTATGGATGGTATCAGGAGCCTCAAACCTACCTGGTTCAAACCATCCTGGTTTTTCAAGGGTTCGGGTCATCTCGTGCCTTGAGACCGAATCATCTTCAACCCTTGAAGACGATAAGATTCCAGGAGGGGCCAAACTGTTGGAGCAGTTGCAAGGTAAAGTTCCAATAGAAGAGAGTGTAATGAGTGCTGCGGCAGAAGCTGTGAGAGCGGCAATGTCCAGCCTTTTGATGAAGAAGCAATACTCTGAAGAGAAGAGAGAGTTCAGAAAAAGAACCAGAAATGATAAGAAAACCACACAATGATTGCATTTTGCCAAATCGTTTTTTTTTTTTGGCTTATTTAGCTTCTGTTTTTCAGACTCTCTCGTTGTATCGTGATCATTATGTTACCGTTATCTATGTTACTATTTCAAAAATGTTATTTATTTATATACACAAAGTAAAGGCCTTTATTTATTTAATCACAGTTAAACTAGTTTCTTATAATTAAATTTTAACGTGTATATTTTTGGTCGATCCATGTCATCAACATGCGGAAAGACAAGTGTGAAGTTAAACATCCACGTGTCAAACAGACATCTGACTAATAGGATCCTTCTTTCGAGATCCAAAATCCCATTTACTCGAAAATAGTAATAACAAACCAGAGAAGCTCCCTAGAAGAAGCCTCGAATAAAAAAAAACACAAAACACACAATTAACAAAGCAATGGCACAGCATCAGCATTCTCCTCAAAGGCCAAGAGATCAGGAAAACACACGGCCACATGATCAATACGGCGACGTGTCCAGCGTCTACGGTGATGACGTGGCTAGAAAGCAAGGCGTTAGTTTCTCTCAATCTGATCCAACGGTTGCGACGATGGGATCCGTAGACACGGTTACGATTGGGGAGGCTTTGGAGGCTACAGCTTTGTCGCTAGGAGATAAGCCTGTCGATCGTAAAGACGCAGCTGCGATTCAAGCCGCCGAAACTAGAGCCACCGGTGAGTGTAAAGGTCGACCCGGTGGTCTTGCAGTAGCGGCTCAGGCGGCTGCTGCTACTAATGAACAGACAGTGTCGGGGGAAGAAAAAGTGACTATAGCAGACATTCTCACGGTAATGACATTTTTATATGGCTAATATATTACGAATTTACGATATATGATGGATTTTTTGTATTTAGTCGTTATACGATTGTCTTTGCTATGAATCACTTTATATGATTAAAACATTGATTTTGGGTAAAAATTCCGAAAATCTTGACATTTTTGTTTTGTTTTTCTTAAGTGTTTCATTCTAAAAGTCTAAATTGGTGCATTCGGATTGTTGGATTGTGTAGGATGCGGCAGAGAAGCTTCCCGGAGACAAGGTGGTGACATGTGAAGATGCCGAAGCGGTTGTTGGAGCTGAACTTGGAAGCAGTTCAGAGATGAAGACTACTCCTGGTGGTGTGGCAGATTCCATGTCGGCAGGGGCAAGGCTCAATCAACAAATCTAGCCAAGTTTCTTGGGACATTAATGAAGTTGTACATGAAGGAATATAAGAGAAGTGTTTCATCTATCAAGTGTCCTTTATGATGTTTGAAGAAATTTTCAAATTAACCCATATATTCCTAGCTGCAAGAATTTTAAATTTGTATACCCTATTTGTGGTCGTCCCAAGTAATGCTCTTTTTGCTTTCTCAAACTAGAGAATTTCACTTACCATGATATGGTATCACTCGATCGACAAAACCAAAACAAAGCTGAGTGAGAAGTTCAAAGAGTTGTTATAACATACACAAGATTTTACATATAGTGACTTTTAAATATATATTTTTTGTCTAGCATTATTATGTAAAATACGAAATCAAACCTTACAAATCATAAGATTGTTTTCCAGTGAATTTAACCTCAATGGGACTAACATTTTTACCGATGGATCTCATGTTTAGTCCAACACCTTCTCTTCCTGGATTTGCTTTCTCTGGATAAACTCCATCTTTCGGGTGAAGATATTGAACCTCTCCGTTAGGGAACACTCTGTAAAACTGGTAGGTGATCTTGTACTTTGACCTCAACCTCGTACCTAAAGCCAAACACTGTTCTTTCCTCGCTAGTTTCAATAGATTTGGTCCTTCTCTCATTATCGCAGCTCCCCCTGTCGGCATCTCAAAGATTTGTTCTTTCGGTGAGTTCCATGTGATGACGTAGAATTCTTCTACTTGTGCTTTACGGAGGAGACCTCCTGTGCTTCCGGCGAAGATTGGTGATGGTGTGTTTGGGTCTAGCTGCGGCGGAGTGAATCCAACCGGAGCTTCTTCTTTCACGGCTGGGGCAGCAGAGGAGGACTCTGTTTTCTCTGCGCGGATGGCGGTTTTGGTGAAGGACAGAGACTTGGGACGGTGGCTTGTTGAGAAGAGGTGGAGTTTCTTGACGGCGGAAGCAGTGGTTGTTATGGCAGGGCTGAAGATTCCGGCGGCTTGAGTTGCCATAATCTCTTTTGTTTGCTTTCTCTAAATCTTTCTTTGTGAAGTAAAATTTATAGAGATGAAATGGCTTAATAGAATCTGACAACAAGAGGGTTGATGAGAATCGAACATTTTTGGATAAGGTGATCATATTATTTGGGCCAATAGGGTTCCAAGATTCGATTCTCCTCTTACCCTTACCAGATCATTAAGCGATGTCGTTTTGTGAGTTTTGTTTGTTTCCTACATGCCACATAACTGACATAAGACTAGACAATCAGGTCAACGTTTTAAATAAACGATATTGCAGAGTCAACGTTTTGATACAACAAAACACAAAGCAGAAAACACAGTGAGACTAGCTTTCGCTCTGAGATGGCATGAGCCTGAGTCTCTCCTCTGAGACCCGTTCACGATCACCACCAAAGAATCTCTCTTCAGCGAGCAATGACTGTAAGTCGCTTCCGTTGGCTAAGCTGTTAAACTCAACAGCTTTAGAAGGCATAGTTGGATAACGTCTTTGACAGAAAGTCATCAGTCTTTTAACTGACTGAAGATACTTGCGCGTGGTTTCATCGTTCATGATGTGCGCAACACTGTTGGTGTAAATCTTCTCTCGAGCTGAACGTTCGTGAATACCAACCATAGTCACTCCAATGGGCCAGGGCGCGTTCCCGATAGCTAGTTTGATGTAGTGGTCCATTGCAGCGAGGTAGTCTCGCTTTATGCAGTAGTTAACCATCACCATTAAAGCTTGACGAATGTCAGCTGGTAAACCCTGCAATTTGTAAGCCATAACCAGAAAGATCAAGTTCACGAAACCTCATAAATTTCAGTGTGAAAAGTATATATTATTAACACTTATAAGGCAGAAAGAGATAAACTTTATTTGCACCTAACATTCAAGCCTATATTTCTTCATCTAAAGGAAGATAACTAACAGAGGAAAGGTGCATACAGATTCCAACTTGCTATTCTACGTTCTCATTGTCAACCTAGCATTAGAGCTTATTGAAAAACTCGTCCTTGTCACCATGTAATCAAAAGTACACAAACTAATGGAACCTAAACACTGTACATTGGTCTTCCTACCCAAACTAAGCTTAATAAACATAGTTCTCTAAGCTTATTAGCTAGAACTGAGATAGTCTATCTCCAATTTCATAAACAGAGATAAATTCCCTAACAATTTTCTAGCCAAACAATGATTTACGCCTAAATAACGATCGAAAGCAAGAATCTTTACCTTCTTCCTGCATAAGTTGAAGAGAGGAACAAGATACCTAGCACACTGCTTAAAAGTGGCTACCATCTGTTTCCCTTTGGCAGTTCTCCTCTCAGTGTTCTCCATTGCATCAAGCTCCTGCTTCCATTCAATCAACAGCTTCTTGTAAAACACAAGGATCTTATCCTCATCGCATAGATCCTCAAAGTTAGCTTTCAAACGCTTCATATCTTTATCAGCATCAACATCACTCGATTCACCACCACTAAGTTCATCTTCCCTCGTTTCACCTCTATCACCTTCGTCTCTTCCTCTCTCATCTCTACTCTTCCTCTTCCTATCTCCCATGATACCACTCTTCTGCCTCTTCTTAAGCTCTGCGATGTCACGCAAGAAATCATTCGTCTGTCCTTCCGTCATATCGCTATCAACCTCGAACAATCCTTCCTTCAAAACGTACTTGAGTCGATCGAGCCGCGATTGATCATCTTCTCCGAAGAGAGTCATCGGCTGCTTAAGGAATCTCAAACGACGAATCACTTCCTGCCTCGGGAGAATTAGGTTTTCGTCGGTTAGGGATTTTGAATCGGCGATAGCAGCAGCGTCCGATGCGGAGGATTTGGAAGACGCAGATGCAGATGCGTTAGAAGAACCAGGAGCAGAACCGGATAATTTTCCATCTCCACCGGAAGCGGCTCTCCGCTGAGCCTTAAGCTCGTGCTCGCGTCGTTCTTCTTCTCGAAGCTTCTGGATTTTCTTCTGCTCGATCTCAGACCGCTTGAAGAACTTCTTACCACCAGATTCCTCAGCTAGACTCTTCCGTTTCTTCAGAATCTCTTCTCTGAGCAGATCCATCGGAAAGGTTTCTTCAATCGCCGCCGAGGAGATTTGATTCTGTCTGAGATTGTCGCGACGACGGAAGATTACAATGATATTTGCCTATCTTAAAACATGACGTCATCATGGTCTTAGGCCCAAATATAAATGGGCTTTATTAAATTTCTAATTGGCCCATGTATATTGCTTTGTTGTTGTTTCCTCTTTCGAAGGGGATTTGAGAAAAGAAGAGATGACGACGATACGTAGATTCAGCTGCAACGACCTTCTCCGATTCACTTCCGTGAATCTGGACCACCTCACTGAAACAGTAATCTCCTGTTTCTTCTTCGTATTCTCTGTTTTTTTTTCTGATTATTGCTTTGTTTTGGCGATTTTTGTTGATTTTTTGTTCAAATTTTGGTTTTGTGAAACAGTTCAATATGTCTTTCTACATGACCTATTTAGCGAGATGGCCTGACTATTTTCATGTAGCTGAAGGTCCCGGCAATCGTGTCATGGGTTATAGTAAGTAATCTCTTCGTTTTGATTTCTTTATGTCTTCGTTCGTGGAGATTATGTTTAATTTTAGGTTTAAAACTTAGATGATAAAGTGTTAGTGGAAAAGCCACTATTGATTTTATTTGGTTGGTTATCAGATGGAGATAGCTTGAATGTTGTTCAAACCAGGAAGAGTGACTGTTTGATGTATAAGTGTTTAAACAAATTTCTCAGCTATCTCAGTTGTTTTGTGGCATTCAGCTAAATTTTGAAAAAGGGAATCTTTTATATGTTTGTATTATTAGTTCTAGCCTGTGTAGTTAGCGGTTTTAGAAATCCTGATATGGGGTAGAAGATGCATAGCAACCATGGCTTAAGATTGTTGGTGCTAACTTCTAAATGTCCATAGAATGAGTTAATGAGTTATATCAAGGCTCAACTTTTATTCTTTTTTTCAGTGTTGGTAAGTATAGTTATTTTATCCCTTATTTGATTGGTTCGAAATGTGATTTATTCTAGGCTTCGTCTTTCTTTATTTTCTTGAAGAACCATATATGCTTCGTTATTGATCTGAATCTTTGACGTTCCGTTCTTGTGGTGCCCTATTACTTGACTGGTTCAAGCCGTTTGGCTTTGTTTGGAAGATGTAAATTTAATTGTGGGAGAGAGATTTCACGAATTTAAACCTGTTTTTCTCCCTTTTCGTGGTATAGTTTGGAAAGAGACCCTGCAAGTATAGTGAATCCATTAAAAGGGCTGAGAGTAAAACTAAGCTTATGGATATCAACTCATGTGAAAATTAAGCAGTTTTTTCTGAAAATGTACTTTTGTATAGCTGAAATGTTATGGTTGATATTCTTGAGAATCCACGTAAGTGGCTTATCTTGGTGTTCCTGAATGATCATCTGTTATACAAAAATCTGGGAACTAGAGCTGTATGATAAAACTTCTTGTTATGATTATCATTTTAAAAGCATGTGTCTAACTAATTTCTATATGGTTTCAGTTATGGGTAAAGTTGAAGGACAGGGTGAATCTTGGCATGGTCATGTGACAGCCGTCACTGTCTCTCCAGAATATCGCAGGCAGCAACTCGCAAAGAAACTGATGAACCTTCTGGAAGATATCAGTGACAAGATGTAAGACTTAACAGAAACAAAGCATCTCCAGTTTTTTTTTTCTCTTTGATATGGATAGTTACGATTAAATAAAGATGGAAGCTTTAATATATTGATATTGGCTTTCAAGTGGACCGTTTATATTTTTGAAAACCGATATTTAGATAGGTTCAAAGGAAGAAAATCTTGAATTGCTTCTCATTGATTTTATATTCTCTGGTACTTTCTGGTCTTCTAATGATTATTATACTTGTGGTTATTGATTGCAGTGATAAAGCCTACTTTGTGGATCTTTTTGTAAGAGCTTCCAACACACCAGCCATCAAGATGTATGAAAAGGTAATATATTAGGATTATGAAATTGATTAGAAGCCTCATAATCTTGATGACATTGTAAGAAAAAGGACTTCTTCTCAATGGCCATTTGGATGAAACAAACCGTCTCTATTTCATTTTTTGGCAGCTTGGCTACATAATCTATAGGCGGGTTTTACGCTATTATTCAGGGGAGGAAGATGGATTAGGTGAGGCTTTGATTCACTTCTTTTTATCAATGATTCGCCCTTACATTTTATTTTGTTTAAGCTTTATATCGTTTGATCTCAAAAACAGATATGAGGAAGGCATTATCAAGAGATGTAGAGAAAAAGTCTGTGATTCCTCTCAAGAGACCTATCACACCTGATGAATTAGAGTATGATTAAGACACAACTGTTATTTGCATTTAAAATTACTCCAAGATCTTTTAGATGATGTTTCTATTCCTGTGGTTTTGTATCTGAATTATTATTACTGCTTTTCTTCCACAATTTTTTTTTTTTAATTTTCCAGAATTGTCTTCTTTATTAAAAGCAAACTTTCTTACAAAAAACCTCAAAGAACAGAGGATACAAAGCTCAAATCGGTTATACTAATTCGGCATCAGAGACAACTGGAAATTACATGCTATGATTATGAAAATTTCAAATTTCTAACAACTTCCCTCATTGATGTTTTTCGAAGACTTGAAAAACTGAAATTGCCAAGGAATTTTTTAAATCTAATTTTCAAATCTGGTTATCCTCATTTAGTAATTTAGTAATAGATAAACTTCGACAATGATGCAAAATGCTTCCTGAAATTGGCATGACAGCAACATACTCTCTGGATGTCACTAGAGAGTTCGGTTAATTCGCCAAAGGCAACTGGAACCGAACATTTATTGATGACCCAAGCAACCGATATAGCAGCCACAGCCTCCTTCCGCATAGGATGTTTTCTTTTCTTCGACCGATAAAACACACCACCTCTACGCCGAGCTCCCAAAGGTGGATAACTAGAACCTCTTCTTCGAACTCGACGTTGACCTCTACCACCATCTTCATCACCGCTATCTCCACTATCTCCCCCCTCATCGCTACCTCCGTTATCTCCATTATCTTCACCCCCCTCATCTTCATTCTCAACTACAATCTCATGGTTAATTTCAATCTCATTCAGCGAGTCTATATCAATCTTTCCGTGCCAATTAAGTACAGTAAGTCCAAATTCTCACCCACATCAAAATTAGATTTATGAATGAGAACAGTCTTGAAGCGTTGCTGAGCAATGCGCATTATGTCTGCGAAATCTGCATCGTGACTGAACAGAACCAATACACCGTAAGTTGTCTGGTTTGAACGCGAGCCTCCATCCATGAATTTATGTGCTCCATTATCCTGTCATCAGCCAGTTGTTTAGGCACCCCTGTCTCGTCATAAGTTTGCAGCACGAACTCAACTCTAAATTCGACTAGAGGATCATCAAGAGCAAGTTGCATTGTGGAGCTAATCCTCCGCCTACTTCTATTTGCAGCAACAGGGTGAACCAGAACCTCTAATGGCGAAAATTGGCTTAACTACTGGAGAATTAATAATAAAATACATAAAAAGCTCAAAATTAATAAAATAGCTAAAAATTGATAAACATTCAAGAACAAAGAATTTATTAAAGTAGAAAAAAGCTCAAAAGATTTAAGTGATGTTTTGAAACAAAATAAAAGACATTAATCAACTTCTTAAATTTAGAATTTATAATTTTTATTTTATCATATGATTTATTTATTAACATTGAAAATAAAATAAAATAATTAAAAAAGTTGGGCTTACAATTTTTTTTGGACTTTAACACTAAAAAATTGAAGTCATACGCCTTTTAAGTTATAAAATCTTATGTGGGTCTAATCATACTCCGAATATCCGTTATCCTTCCCAAATTTTAAGACTATTCGTATCCGTATCTGGGAAATCCGTCATTTTAACATTCGTATTCATATCTGTTTTGCCGGATATCCGTTTCTTCGGATCAAAAACCGGATACGGATAAAGATATTCGCGGACAACAGATATAAAACTCAGGACTACTACAAAATACAAACATAAATTTAATGAAACTAACCGTCTCTCTTTTTTTTTTTTTGTGGCAGCTTGGCTACATAATCTATAGGCAGGTTTTACGCTATTATTTAGGGGAGGAAGATGGATTAGGCGAGGCTTTGATTCACTTCTTTTTATCTATGATTCGTGCTTATTTTTTTTCTTTTGTTTAAAGCTTAAATCGTTTGATCTCAAAAAAACAGATATGAGGAAGGCATTATCAAGAGATGTAGACAAAAAGTCGGTGATTTCCTCTCAAGAGACCTATCATACCTGATGAATTAAAGTATGATTAAGACCCTAACTTGGTCACTTCACAACTGTTATTTGCATTATTAAATTTACTCCAAAATATTTTATTCCTGTGGTTTGGTATTTGAATTATTATATTCTTATTTTCGTCCACACAAATTTATAATTACTTTTGATCAAACTTTTAATTAGTTAAAATAAATTATTGTTTTGAAAAATAGCTAATCGCGCCGTCCGTTGGATAGCTTTGGGATGGGCCAAGCGGATATTCAAGAGATAAGAAAACTAATCAGAAATCTCTCTCTCTCTCTCTCTCTCTCTCTCTCCATGAGAACTCTAATCTCTCACCGGCAATGTGTGACGTCACCGTTTCTTATCTCCGCCGCATCTCCACCGTTTCCTGGCCGGTGCTTTCAGTTATCCTCCTTTACTCCTCCACGTCATAGGCGTCTTTCCTCTCTCTCGATCAGAAACGTTTCGGATGAATCCCCCGCCGATCAGACTTCTTCTTCTTCTTCTTCTAGGCCGCGAACTCTTTATCCTGGTGGTTACAAGCGTCCCGAACTCGCCGTTCCCGGTCTACTTCTCCGGCTAGACGCGGATGAGGTTATGAGTGGAAATCGTGAAGAGACTGTCGATTTGGTCGACCGTGCTTTAGCTAAATCGGTTCAAATCGTCGTGATTGATGGCGGAGCTACCGCTGGTAAGCTCTATGAGGTGGCTTGTTTGCTGAAATCGCTTGTCAAGGGTCGTGCTTACCTCTTGATCGCCGAACGCGTTGATATCGCCTCCGCCGTTGGTGCTAGTGGCGTTGCTCTCTCCGACGAAGGTAAATCCAATTTCATTCAATTTTAGCATTTAATTTCTCATAGAGTGAGTATTGTCTCTCAATGCTATGTACAGGTCTTCCGGCGATAGTGGCGAGAAACACATTGATGGGATCCAATCCCGACTCGGTAGTTCTTCCATTGGTAGCTAGGATTGTGAAGGATGTTGATTCTGCTCTAAGTGCCTCTAGCTCTGAGGGTGCTGATTTCCTTATACTTGGAGCTGGTGAAGATAAACAAGTTGGTTTCTTGGTGGAAGCTTTGTTGAAGAGCGTGAAAATACCTATATTTGTGACTTGCAGAAGCAATGGAGAAGCTAAAGAAGAATTGCAGTTACTGAAATCAGGTGCTTCTGGTTTTGTTATTTCGTTGAAAGATCTGCGTTCTTCTAGGGATGTAGCTCTTCGCCAGTGTCTTGATGGTGCTCATGTTGTAAATCATGAGACACAAAATAAGAATGAAAGCATTCTTAACGATACATCATTCGTTGAAGTTAGTGACCTGCCGGAGAAAAACAATTCTGCTGGGTTCATAAAATTAGAGGACAAACAGAAACTAATAATAGAAATGGAGAAATCAGTGTTGAAAGAGACGATTGAAATCATCCAGAAGGCGGCTCCACTGGTGATTTTTATTTCAAACATTTGGTAGTTGAAGTCAAATTTTTTGAAATGGTTCTAAAGTAGGTTTTCTGTGGTTATAATATGGTTTAATTTACTTCTTCGACTATTTTTCAATAACAGATGGAGGAGGTCTCCCTTCTAATTGATGCTGTTTCTCGGATTGATGAGCCGTTTCTGATGGTTATAGTGGTAATTCTGCACTCAACTCCGTCAAATTGTGATTCCAGGAATTTGCATTGGTATTAGCTCTATATTCATTAGAAACATTTTTAGTTACACGCTTTTGCCAGCACTAGATAGCTTGAGATAGAGCTCTGCTAAACAATGGGCATGCTTCTAGTCACTTCTTTAGTGCTTCTCATTATCTTCTTTAGTTATGATGTTTCGCTTCTTCTTTTGTTCTGTCTATGCTTCTCTTCTTATTTTGCTTATGGATCTGGTTATAGGGGAACTGCATTTTTCTTAACTGTGCCATCTGCTTGTGGTCATATTATTCGCTTTCTTGTGACCTGTGAGTATGCCGTTCTTCTAGCTATTTGGTGGTTAGAAGAGTCAAAAAAATTATCATGTTTCGTGTAAATTTTTTGAAGCTTTGCATGTGATTATTAGAGGATTCCAACTAGTTTTCTATCTACTTCTGCTTTGGGTATTTTTAAACTTAGAAAATGTTATAAGCGGGACAAGTAGCTTCTATGATTCTAAATAGTTTTTGTATGGATAATTGATTGGAATCCATAATTTGCTTGTACTAGGGTGAATTTAACTCTGGAAAATCAACGGTTATCAATGCACTTCTTGGGAAGAGATACCTGAAAGAGGGGGTAGTCCCCACTACCAATGAAATCACTTTTCTGTGCTACTCTGACTTGGAATCCGAAGAGCAACAACGTTGCCAAACGCATCCAGATGGCCAATATGTATGCTATCTTTCTGCACCAATACTCAAGGATGTGAGTCATTCAAAATTCTACCATCGCAGTCCTGAAATTTTTTCTAATTATTTGGAGGAATTGATTTGGGTTGTTCTCTTTTCAAACAGATTAATATTGTTGACACACCTGGGACCAATGTGATCCTTCAAAGGCAACAGCGTCTTACAGAAGAATTTGTTCCACGTGCAGATTTGCTTGTTTTCGTTCTTTCTGCTGACCGCCCTTTAACTGAAAGCGAGGTAGAAGTTACCGTTTTGCTTGGCATGTTAGTTGTTGTTGTTTTTGCTCAATATGTATCTGCCTAAGTAGCTTGCTAAATTTATTTTTTCACGAAAGTAGTTAGTTAAGTCATGTATAGACCATCAAGACCTTGTGTAGGGAAGGGGAAGTTGTCACTAGGTTGAATGCATGTATCAAGGTTTTCTTGATTATGAATTTAAATTAGACTAATTATTATTTCAAGTAATGAGTGTTATAGCTATTGCTGGAACCAGTATGTCCTTTTGGTCCATATTTTGGTAAAGCTTAGGCCAAGACATTGAGAGGTGAGTTGTTATTGGTACAGCAAAACTGATTTTGCGTCCGTGGCAAATTGTATGTAAATGATCATCTATGAAAGTACTAACTTTATTAATATTTGGTTTTTATTTTGAAAAATCGGAAGAATTTTCAAAATTAGGAACATGGTTCTCAGTGTCATCATACCCATGTCATTTTTATCTCTACCTCTTCAGCTTCCTGCTTTCTTGAATGTACTGTAGGCTGATTTACATCTCCTTGTGTTTGTCAGGTTGCGTTTCTCCGGTACACACAGCAGTGGAAGAAGAAATTTGTGTTTATTCTGAATAAATCTGATATCTACCGTGATGCCCGTGAGGTTTATCAGAAATAAGATTTATGTTCTTTCCTTGATAGTCTCTGTAATTACTGGATTTTTCTTGACTAAAGATTAATTTTACTTCTGCAGCTTGAAGAAGCGATTTCATTTGTTAAGGAGAATACACGGAAGTTGCTTAATACAGAAAATGTGATAGTGTATCCGGTGTCCGCACGGTCTGCTCTTGAGGCGAAGCTTTCAACAGCTTCTTTGGTTGGCAGAGATGATCTTGAGGTCTCAGATCCTGGTTCTAATTGGAGAGTCCAGAGCTTCAATGAACTTGAGAAATTTCTTTATAGCTTCTTGGATAGCTCAACTGCTACCGGGATGGAGAGAATAAGGCTTAAATTGGAGACACCCATGGCGATTGCTGAGCGTCTCCTTGCTTCTGTGGAATCTCTTGTGAGACAAGATTGCCTAGCTGCTAGTGAAGACTTGGCTTCAGCAGACAAGATTATCAATCGAACTAAAGAATACGCGCTTAAGATGGAATATGAGAGCATTTCTTGGAGAAGGCAGGCTCTCTCATTGGTATAAATTCTATTAGATATATCTTGTTGAATCACGTAGGAGGAAATTGGATTGTTCTAACTTGGCTTTTTTGTGTTTTGTACTCTGGCTTTTATTGCAGATTGATAATGCCAGATTACAAGTTGTTGATCTAATAGGAACTACCCTGCGACTATCAAGCCTTGATCTTGCGGTCTCTTACATGTTCAAAGGGGAAAACTCGGCCTCAGTAGCAGCTACATCCAAAGTTCAAGGTGAAATACTCGCTCCAGCACTCACAAATGCTAAAGTAAGTGTGATGCTTCATTCTTTTAGTATTGTCCTAACTGTGGACATGTTGGTCATATATTTGAGGTCTGAGATATAGTCTCTATTCATGCAAAAGTTAAATATTGTCTAACAATGTCTTGTTGTGACCTGATTGATGCTGGTTACTGGTTTCTAATCCTAGGGAATTGACTTTACATTTCACTGGTTTGCAGGAGTTGCTTGGAAAATATGCTGAATGGCTACAATCAAATACTGCCCGTGAAGGGAGTCTGTCCCTGAAATCATTCGAAAACAAATGGCCAACATATGTCAATTCAAAAACTCAATTGGGCATAGAAACATATGATTTACTCCGGAAAACTGATAAATTCAGCTTGAAAACAATACAGAATTTGAGTGCCGGAACCACATCAAAACGATTGGAACAAGATATTCGAGAAGTGGTGAGTTTCAAGTATTAAATACTTTTATTCTAACTAGAGTTCAGTCGATTAAAGTGTCTTGATCTTCATCATTGTTTAATTGTGTCATCTGTTCAATCCGAACCTAAGATCTGACGGAGATGTTAATTCAGTACTGTATTTTCCCATATACTTCGTCTGGTTATTCAAGAATCAATCTAAAGTGACACTTTTGACATAATTGAGTTTTGCTTGCCTTTTCTAGTTCGTTGTGACAGTTGGTGGGCTTGGAGCTGCGGGACTATCTGCATCACTTCTAACCTCAGTGCTACCCACCACATTGGAAGATCTTCTTGCTCTTGGCCTTTGCTCCGCTGGAGGGTAATGATACTTCTCTGCATTTCCCGTCTTTCCCATTGTCTCAGTACTCCACTTCTTATATCACATCACCTAATGTATCATTTTTCTCGCAACTAAAGGCATGTTATGATTTTTAAGACATACTGGCTGTATATATAACATAATCTTTGTGGCAGGTATGTGGCTATAGCAAACTTCCCTTATCGAAGACAAGCTATAATTGGCAAGGTGAATAAAGTGGCTGATGCGTTGGCTCAACAACTAGAAGATTCTATGCGAAAAGATCTTTCAGATGCGACTAATAATCTAGTAAATTTTGTGAATATCGTTGCCAAGCCTTATCGAGAAGAAGCTCAGCTAAGACTTGATCGTCTTTTAGGAATCCAGAAAGAACTATCAGATATTAGAAGTAAATTACAGTTGCTACAAGTTGATATTGATAACCTTCATGTATCACGAGATGAGATGAGACTTTAGCTGTTCCAACACAATGTCGGGGTTTCCCTTCTTGACATTGTTCAGTGGGGGGCAAGTGTATGTACTTTGTCATAATGAATAAGACCTGCCAGTTCCGACTTGAAATGGACTCACTGATGGTTTGAAAGAATCAAACAACAGCATTATGGGCATGAAATTCTGGTATAATGTTTTCTTACTTCTTTTTTCAGATTGCTTATGATACAAATCACAAGATGAATGTAGCTCAGGAGAATCGTGGAGGAAATATACTTCTGTTATTTGACCTGCACATGTACGGATGTACCTCACATCACAGGTTAGTATGTTAGTTGACTCATTTTTTCTATCATTGAGATTTTTATATTCTTCTGGAGTTCATGAATAGCTTCATATGCTATTGATTCTCCGCATAGAGCATCTGAAATTTGTTGTCAATGTACTAATCTTTTGACTTTAACGACTTAGATATGGAAAAAAAATCCTAGTATAGGTTTCCGTGAAGAGTAATTCTCAGCATATGCTAGCTATGATTTGAAAAGATAAAAGCGCAAAAAATTTCTTTTCTAGGTTAGGATTGGTTCGAGAAGTTTTAAAATCCAGAATTGGTAGGATAAACCTTGGTTAATGCTTGATGCTGGAAATTAATTAGAATTAACGTAGACTAACATTGTGTAAAGCTTGTTCATAGGTTCCTCGTTAGTTTTCTAATCAAGGTCATAGCTTTAAGCTGATGACATGTATGCTTGATAACCAAACCTTTTATTTTATTAAAAACAAAAAGAGAATATTAAGTATGGTCAAAAGTTAGGGAAAGAGAAAATCCCCAGTTGACATGTTTTTGTGTAAACGTGAAACAGATTCCACCTTCCTTTGTTGCTAAAGATCAGAAAGAAACATAGACTTGCAAAGTAATATTAAAAATTTCGAAAACAAAAAGAAAATTTTGAAGGGATCTAGCTTTGGATTGTCCTTTTCAATTGGGGACCAGAAGTGGAATGATGATGCAGAGAAAGGCCACTTTTTTTGGTTCTTGTTTCAAGGTTTCTCTTGTTCTGATTGGTTTAGGCAAATCTAAAACCAAAAAGGGGAAAACACACGGAAACACAGCGATTGGCGAATACGAAATTCGGATGGTCAGGGCTCACTAGAGAGAGAGAAAATAAGGTACAGATTCTTGCTTATAGCTTTACTTACCAGTAAGTTATACTGCACACGTTTTTAACTGGTCTTTGTCGAGTTTTCATTACCAAAGAACTTTTGTTTTCGCAACACATGAAGTTTTGAAAAGTTTTCCTCACTTGAAATGGAAACTTCTTTTGCTACCCGTAGCTTTTTAGTGTACTGTTCCATTAACTGAATAATTGTAATAGACATCACTACTTATCATCTATGTTAGTATGAGACATGCTTATTGTCTATGTTCCTTAACTGACCCTACATTTATTACTTGTTTGAGAACCTATGGACTATAGAGGAGTCACTCTCTAACCCAAGCATTGATTCGCGCTCTGAAACACGTATTCCCATAAGTTTTCTATTACAAGGCATACATGTTTTTAAACATTCATTACAATTTGAGGTGTAGATTAATCATAAGAAGAAAGCTCGGTTCTTCGTATGTTGTACTTCCTTTTTCTTTGAATCTGGTTTCAATGTACCAACAAGTATTAGGAAACTGTCAATATGACATTGAGATGCTGCAGTATCAGAAACACAATCTCAAGGATTTGGACATGAAACTGATTTGGGGCCATTGGCCATTATACTATTGATTGGTAAGCATGTTACTGCTTTCGTTTGATTCTGCACTTACTCAAATCAATTTCGATACAGAAGCAAATACCTGGTAATTAATATCGCATATATGGTTATAGTTGTATTTTTTTATTCGTATCAAAGAAAAGGGGAAACTATATGTATATATATAGATATATTGATTTGTATTATTTATGGTTCATATCAGATTAGATCAGTTTTTCAAATCTTTGAAAAGCATCGATGAAGGAAAGTTGTTAGAACTTTACAATTTTCATAATCATAGCATGTAGTTTTCTTTCAGTTGTCTCTGATGCCGGATTCGTATAACCGGTTTGAGCCTTTGTTTCAAAAACAGTGGTTTTGTAAGATATTTTACTTTTAATAAAGAGACATTTCAGTTTGCATTACAGTTGCTGCAAGTTGGTTTGTCTTTGTGATTTTCTTTGCCTTCAATTATTATCAGTTTTGGAAACTTTCATCAATAAGGGCATTTGGGTCTTTCATTATTTTTCATTTTATTTGTCTTTTAACGGGAAAATTTGATGGATTACGGGTATCGCTAGATATATCCAGTATTAGATCTGGTCTGAACGGATAATTAATTTTTATCATCCGTATTTGGATATATTTTTTGGTCAACCAAATGAACTATCTTTTATAATTGGGTGTTTTAAATACGGATACAATGCTGGAAAGAACCGGTTAACTGAAAATATATATTTTGTATAAGAATACTAACGTACAAGTATGCAAAAACTGAAAAAAGCCTACCAATTCATTTGGACACAGTGATTTTACAAGATCAAGTTACAGCCACAGCTTGAGGAAGAAACCAAAAACAAAAATATCACTGAAGTGACTATAGGTTAGGTGACCTATTCGATAGGATACTTTTCACTAAATTTACGAATCGTTAGCAGAATTGCTTAACAAATTTGTTACAAATTAAAGCTGTAACATGCATGTATGTAGGTATCAAATAAAACAAATGTTTTTAAATGAACTGTAACGATGTCACTTGTGGTGAGAATTACCGGGGTTAATTTATGCTACCTTTATTTTAATCTAATCCTACTTCCTAAATAAAATAATGATGTATTTAACTTTTACTGAAGCAGTTTTTATATCTTTAGGCAATAAAATATCAGGAAAAATGAAAGCCATTTTCTCCATAGTGCTACCGCTCAATAGGTCGAATATGCGTTTAAGGGCTATTGAGGATGTTTAAAATGTCTAAATTCTATGTTTAAGTATCATCTTTCTGTTTTTTTTTCTTTCTTCTTTAAGCTTTCTGCTACGAAATTTTTAAATAGTTGTTGACACGACATAACAACAACACAAACTTATATTTTCATCCATCCTTCCATTTCCGACACTATTATATAAAATACTATGAACATATGGATATACGAATTACGATATTATTCTAGACAAAACATAAAGATTATACAAAACTATAAACTATAAAGCAAGAGTCATGGTTTAGTGGCGCGGTGAGGGATTTATCTATGAAATTTGACAAATGAAACCAGTTTATCAGTTACAATAATATGAAAATACTAAAACATATAATTTAGTGGTGTGTATTAATATGGTATAGTGTTATAATCTAGGTTTGAAGCGTAATTTGTGTAACCTGTAGACAATAACAATATTTATATATTTAATGTTTTTCACTAGAAAAAAAAAAACCACTAAAAACTGGATGGTCTGGTGCCAGTTAAAATGGTTCCATATGATTAAATATAGGGATTATAAGATTTTAGTATGTGTTCATGCAATAAAGGTGTAGAATAATTAAAAAAAACTTATAAAGAATCCAATGCCAAGTGGACTCGCCACTATAAATACTTGCTCACCCCTCCCTCTTCCCTTTCACATTCATTCCTCTCTTCTTAATTACCATCCAATCTCTCTGAAATTATTATACATTAGATCTCAATAACAATCACAAACCCTCATTAACATCCTTTGTTTTGCTCTGTTTTTCAAAGAACATATAAAAATGTCACTTGTTGTTTGTCAACCTCAAGATAACATCGTTCCGAAGAATCAAAGTTTCTATCAAAAAGATGACATGGGTGGGTTGAGTTTCCTGCAATCTATGTCCGACATCACTGCCATTGTCCAAACCAAAGAGGATAAAGCTTATGTTCACCCGATGGAGAAACGCTCTGTTTCTAAGCTCAATGAGAAAAGCTTAGAGATGTGCACTGAGAGTCTCGGAACCGAAACAGGAAGCGAGAGTGGTGACGAGTTGTCATTGCTTGCGTTTGAAGCAACCACAACTCCTAGGGTTCCTCCTCAACTGAAACCTCAAGAAGATACTAACTTGCCGGACAAGAAATCGCCGATGGTTCGCAACAACAGTTTCCCCCCGCCGATAAAGTTCGTTGAAGACTCAAAGTATAATCGTATGGTGAGATGGTTAGGAGAAGATGGTCGACTTGTAGTTCAAGCAATTAGGGCTTCGTCTCCGCCTAGTTGCTTTGTAGCTGAACGTGGTGAAGGAAGGCTTCGTCTCATGTTAACGTCGGAAAGTTCTCTTCTTAGTCACAGTCATGAGGAGGAGGAGGAAGAAGAAGAAACAGAGGAGGGCATCGATGAGGAAACTAGTGAGATCATGGAGGGTAAAAAGTTTAGCAGATTAAGCAGAAGATGCAAGGAGAATGGTCGTGAGCCTAAACCAATGCTTACTTGGAAGCAGCAGCAGTTTTGGGTCGCTACTTCAACTTAATTCGACTAATTAACGTGGGTTTTATTTTAGTTTATCTATATAATATGTCTATATGTTTTCTTGTCTTTTCTATTTGTAGTATGATTTCTTGAGGGGACTGGTAATGTATTTTATTTCTATTAAATGTAATGTTAAATGGGTCTAATAATATTATCATAATTATTGTTGTCAGATTTATAAATAATCATCATATATAACAACCAATAACTGAATAATAATGTATATTGGTACTATTTATCTTCTTTTTGTACGTTAAGGAAAAAAAAAATCCGAAAATGTCCTTTAGGAAGCTTCCTAGAATGATTTTCCCAAACACAACTCTTTTCAGTTTTTCCACTCTTCTCTTTGAATAAATTTCCGACTGATTATCATAATTATTTGACAAAATATATTTTGTAGTTAGAAAATTCCTGAGCGGTTCATTTCTTTCCAAAACCAGAAGTAGATCGATTTACAAACTAAAAAATGAGGTTTTACAAAATACTTGAAGAGACCAATTACCAATGTAATGAAGACAAGTAGACAACAACATCAATAGTAGTAGCAGGAATTTAATTAGGAACATCAATAGTACTAAAATTCATATATAATACTCTCTCTCTTTCACAAAGTTATTCTACAATTTTTCACATAAATTAAGAAAAATAAACAAATTTCATTTTTACTCTTTATTATTACACTAGATAATTCATTTTTCTAATTAATAAACTAAAATAACAAAGATAAAAAATAATAATTAGTCTTAAAAACTGCATTGAAAACAAAAAACGACACTCTTTGTGAAACGAAATTAAAACCTTAAAATGACACTCTTTGTAAAACGGAGGAAGTATATCAAAGATAATAATATCTTGGAGTATTTATTTAGGTCATCATATGATGATTTATATTTTAAATTACATTTTTTTTGAATCTTATAATGGTCTTAAGCTAAATACCAAATAAAAAATTCTGGTCAGTATGATACAAATCTAACAACCCAAAAATATCAAACTTAATAAAATGAACGAAAGTGAATGTCCGACTGCCCAGCTCTACTAGAAATTATTAAATATAGTTGAAATGACTAAAATGTTTTTTTTTTTGAAAAAATCATGTGGTATGTACAACGGCCACATGAACATTAGGAAAGATTTTTTTTTAAAAAAAAAAAAACATTAGGAAAGATTGTTCCCACACGCCCACATGACCATCACATGCAAAAAAATCTGCTCACTTCTCCTTTTAATTCCCACCATTTTTATTTATTTAAACTTTAAATTTGCCTTTTGCTCTCTCATTTAGATTCTGTTTCTAGATTTTCCTTGTACGAACTGTGCAGAGACTCTCTTACTTTCTTTTTGCGTTATCATACCAAAGTGCATGACCTCATTAATCATTTTACTTTTTATTTAAAATGTTAAAATTATAATATTTCGAACGGTATTGTTTACTTGTTGTCTCATTGGTCGATATACAGTAGATTAGATTTTGCTTACACAATAATCATAGAACCGGTAGGTATATATAATATCGCTCATGTAAAATTTGAAGTAATTTTTTGCGTGCATGCATCAACTGAAAATCGATATGCTTGTTGTTTTGCCAACATCAATCGTTCGTTTCTAGTTTTTGGTTATAGAATATTTGGTAAATGAAACATATAAAACATGAGCATTTTCACTATATATAGTCTCATATAATCATGGATAATTCTAAATCAATTCATGGTGGTTTAGTGGTTGAAATGTCTACCTTTAAAGAAAAAAAAAACATGGTTCTAGTATTTTCTTGTTTTGAGTCTAATTATGGTTGGCCATAATTGAAATGTTTCTAGGATATTCGGCTCTTTCATAAATTTTAGAGTAATTTGGAATTCCATCCAAATATATATCATCTTTCGAGAATCGGATGCCTTTTCATTAGAGTTTTTTTTTTTTTTGGTAAAAAGTGAAATTTTATACTATTTTAAAATTTTGACAGAAGTTACAGAGATTAGTAGAAACAGATTAGAGCACACTACGGAAAAATAAAAACAACATTATTAATCAAAATGTTTCGGATCGTTTATGAGTGAATATGGCTAAGTTGCGAAAAGAAACACCGATTCCGATATCCCGAAGCTCGGAAAATAAACGAATGTATATATGTATATTTTGTTCATTAGGATTTACTTGACCGGTTATAACGAGACTATATTTGAGTCAAGATCCAAAACTCTGGTGTTAAATGTTATAAACTCACAGAAACTGTTTCGAGGTGTATGTATTCTGCATATATTCCCCGACATGGACGAAGAAATTAGTCACAGTGTCCGTACATAATGAACATCCCAACATATAAATTTTGCAAAGTATATAAATGTCCACCAATGAGAATTAGACAACTTCTATGAGTAATGTCCAATCTAAAGTCCCAAAAGTGTGTAAATATATTAAAGTGTCCTTTGTTTCTCTGCAAACGAATATCGAGAGAGAGAGCTCAATTTCCATGGTTCTATGTGCTGCCACTTGATGCTTATTATTGACCACTATCTCATGCGGCACCCATTTCTGTGATATCTCAATCATTCTTTTTAATAATCAAACATATATATTTTATTTTATTTGCGCAGTTTCTATTTTGAGTTTTGATGACCTTCTTTTTGGTAAACTAATCTCTCTCTCTCTTTTTTTTTTTTTTTTTTTGGGGGCAAAATAACCTAATCTCTTAAACCAAAAAAATCACTAATTCATATTGGCAACAACTATATCAATTTTGGCAACAAAAATAAAGCCGGCCGGTACAATAATTTTGTATGGTTAAATATGTGCATTCATTATAGTTTTACTACGTTATAATGTCTCGACTAATATATGATGAAATTAGTCATCGCACACAACAAGATGTTGTAACAGTTTTAGTTATGTTTCCTTAATGGAATGAAACTAATTTCAGCGGAATCCGAAAATATAAAACATAAAAAAAAAATAGGGGTTTCAATGTTTCATACCAAGTAATCTTGGTGTTTTATCATTAGATAAATTTTCTATTTTTATTAGGTCTTTTAGTCTCAACTCTCAAGTGGGTGGGAGTGCATGTGTGTAATGACAAAATAACATAACTGTGGTCATGAAAATATTATTTGATAAAATAACACGATTTTACACGGGGTTTTATTTTTTTGGTCAAGATTTATACACGATGATTTCTATCAGATTGTAGAAACTGTTAAGCAGCTTTATGATAGAACCAGAAAATTGGGCCGAAACTGGATCCAATTATAATTAGTTCCCTCTATTCTCGGCCCAACACTCGCCACCGCTTAGGGGGGTACTTTGGTAATAAATCAACAAGTTTTAACTTTTGAATTAATAAAGTGTAGGGGTTGATTTGTTATTCTCAGTTCCTAGAGGGATTAATTTGTCATTTGTATCGGCTTTCACTTTTTTGGTGATTTTTTCCTCTAGAGCCATCTGTTTTCTTCTTCTTCGTCTTCTCTCACCCGCCTACTCACTTTTTTCAAATTTCTTCAGCAACACAAGCCAGTGGCGGATCTAGAGCTTTCGATTGAAGATGGAAATGGCGGAAGGGGAAGGAACTACAGAGGAGAACTACGACGTAGACATCGCGACCACCGCTTCTTCACTAGGCGGCTCCGGCATCTTCCATATCATCAATGACATAGTCGGTTTCGTCCTCTATATGCATCAACAGATCCCTTCGTATGTTATCTCTTCCTCTTTTCGTATCTCTACGCTTCGATTTATCCTAATTTGATGTTCGATCTGGTGGCGATGTATCTGTTTTGTGTGTTCTTGAATCTCTCCGTTAATTTTGTCTACTGTGTTCGATTTCCCGTGATTAATAGGTTTATTAGAAGAACTATAGATTGATGTTTATGAATTTTGTGTATTCTGGATCAATTAGTGTGAGTTTAGAGATTAATTCCTGGTAGGTGAAGGTGAGTTATGTTCAATTCTAGGGGAAATCGAAAAGCTCTACAACTACTTCCATTAGGTTTTAGAATTAAGTATGTTGTATCCACTATGAGTATTTTACTGAAACTTCAAATTTGCAGCTTTTGGTTTCGGCTACACAAAGCTCCTTTACCAATATGACTGTTGTTGGTTACTTACATCTGTGCAGGGTATTACAAGACATGAGCCTTGAATTTGATGGATTGCAAACTGAATTTATGGATTTGGTATGTTAGTTCTACTGACGCCATTTTCACTTTACGGTTTAAGGTCTTTTTTCACACTCTAAGAATCTTAGGTTGTAGGAGGCGAATCTTACACAACCTCAAGTGAAACCACTGGTTAGAAGAAAACTGGTGAGTAGAAAGAGAGAGGTGAAGAATGAGATTAAGAAACTGGAGAAATTGATGAAAACCATCACTAGTCTCCGAAGTGCGCTGCAGTTAATGGTCCGTGAAGCTCCTGGCATTCAGAAAGTTGTGTTGATTCTTGGTGGTAGTCCATTACGGCCTCAAAAAGCTTATGAGTTGTTATTCACACAACACAGTGATTCTCTTCTGGGCTACGAAGGTGACTTTGCTAAATCCAAAGCTGCAGAAGCACTTTCAAAAAAGGTTCTTTTCTTACCTCTGTGTTCATGTTGCTTGTGATTTGTTCCTTTTCCATTTTATCTGCTATAATAAGTAAGCAATGGTTGAGCCCCTTCACTCTTTTTGGCTCTATAGACTATCCGAGCACTGATCTCAGTGGGTGCTGGATCAACTTCCTACCCAGGTAACTTTTGCATAAAATCTTTAGCATTGTATGCCATTGCATAAACCGTTAATGATTATTTTCCCTTCTTCTGAGTTGCAGGTCCAATGAGGCTCTTCATATTGGTTCATGCTCCACCTACTTTGAATCTTCCCCAACATTTCCTTCCTAAACGTGACTTCAGATACAACAGAAAGGTACTCTACTAATTCTATTTCACACATCCATGTAGAAGATTCCAATTTCCGTCACCGGCAAACATCTTTTTATTATTGCAGTTTGTGCCTTCAAAATTGAGATTCAAGTGCAGAGCGCAAGACAATGCAACAAATTCTCCTCCCACAAATGATCTAATATGGTAGTTCTCTTATTCACAATTCTCCAGTTACACACTAAACAAGTTCTTGACAATGCCTTCTGTGTCATTGCAGGTTTCAATGTCGCCAT